CTATCAGCCTAACCTATCTTATAGGATCATTGTGAAGACAGAACCAGGAGAGCTGCAAGGCAGGAAGCCATGTACACTGCTCTAAGTTGGCAGAAGGGTAAGACAGGAATGCAACGTAGTGAATTCCTTGTGATGAAAAAAAGATTGCTGGGAATACAGAAGCTGGCCCTGTATCCTTATCCCTGGTTAAAAGCTTGAAACAAGTTTCACTTTAAAAGCAACCCATAGTTAAATAAGGGTCAAAAATGGAAGGTAAGAGTGGATGTTTTGAGGTCTTTCTCCTCTTCTTGCTATGATCCTTAACAACATACTAGAAGGATACCATGTTTGGGGAGATCGTGGAGGATCTGGGCCAAATCCCAACTATGAACTGGTAGTCCCTGTTTTATCACTATAGTCTGACCCCTGTATCCACTGGGGATTAGTTCCCAAATTTATCACATATGGCAAAAACTCCAGATAATGGCAAATGCTATATTTCTTCCAGAAGGGTTTTGTTTTTGTTTTTCCAGATGTGGGTAAGTGAAACCACAGATGCTGATCCTTCAGATACAGGGGTCAGGCTGTAGTGGCTGTTTTCATGGCAATTGTCAGAGGGATGGTTCACTTTAGCAACACTTGCAGCAAGAGGAGATGGCAAGGAATGGACTTTCCAGCACTCACCAGCAACTGATTTTTGCCGTTCATTTGTGACCCTGGCCACTGGGTGGTTGGAAGGCCCTTACCTGACATGCTGGAAATATTCCTTGGTGTGGTTCCGATAGAAGACCGAAAAGCGGAGCATCCTCCCTGCGATGAGTTCGGCTTTCTCCTGCAGCTGGGCCAAATGCTCTTTAGCATAGTCTGTGTGGGACACAAAGGGGGACATGGTCTTACAGTGCAGCTCTTCCATCTCCCATTGTTAGTTGTAGGGTCAGTCTGCCCTCAATCCCATTAATGCCAAGCTTCTTCTCGCTGCACCTGGCGTACCTTCCCCTTTGCCTCCAGCCAGTTCTCCCTTCCTGTCACCTCTTGCTCTGGGCGTGCTGGGAGCACACACCCTTGGCCTCCTACTCAGCAACTCTTGCTCCATCACGAAATCTGGATTTACTGCCTTTCAGCACCCTTCAGCTTGTCCCAGTTCCCATCGGCCCAGGCTCTGCCTTTTAGCCAGCCCAAACAAGTGGTTCGTACCCTGCCTTGCTCCTCGGCTTCAAAAACATGCACA